ACACACACACACACACACACACACACACACACACACACACACACACAGGGGTGGGTGGTGCAGGAGGAAACAGACTAAAGCTCCACATGTTTCCCTCTGTCCACCAGCCTGTCAAACAGTTAGCTGTGAGGGCAGCAGAGCAGTCGTGGCACAAATGGCCGCCATTGTTTTATCATGGGTGAGTAAGAAAAGTGGCATTGAGATGTACAGGCCTCCCACACTGCTGCTAAACACTGTGTGTGTGTGTATGTGTGTGTGTGTGTGTGTGTGTCAATCACACATGGTTAGATGGTTTTATATGTACGTCCATCTGTCTACCTGTCTGCTTGACAGTGTGCATTTAAGGTGGATTGCATTCATCTATTAAATATCAGATGTTTTGACCAGTCCACCTCAGATATGATAATAAAAGAAAAAGCCAATGTTATCCATTCGCATTTATTCATTTGAATGCTCAGGGCTGTTAGGTCTCCCCCAGTCTCCCATGCGGCTGAGTGGGGGTCAGTCAGCCTTAGAACAGTGAAATTATTTTAATTAGTCTGGGTTTTAGTAGCAGGGTTTAGTGCCCCATGATAGTGTCAAAGCTTCCTCGGGAGGAAACCCAGAATAGCAGAAAAAAGGCTGAAGTTAAAGATACACCATAACGTGTATAATAAAATCTGCTTCAGGCTACACATGTCGCTCACTGTATCAGTCTCCAAAGGGCCACGCTGGTCGGACCGCGATGCAAAGACACACTGGTGTTTCAGGGTCGTAACACTCCCCGTCCCGCCTCCTCCCAGACGGACCATGCAAACCGGATTAGCTCATCCTCAGATGAGAGCGTTACATGGTCCGATTCCACCGCTCCTCAACCTGACTGCAATTCAAAGGGCTGAGCACGGCATCTCCGGCTGACGCGTTGCCATTTTGATTCATGCCAGCAGGTAGGCGAGCGTCGATGGAAACCCTCGGTCTGCCTGACGTGTTTCTGATTCACCTTTGGAATCAAGTGAAACGTGTGAGTTGTTTCAGGGTCTGTGGTGGTGCTGAAGCTGAATATATCACGTTGGTAAGTGTGGATCAATGTCACAACAAAGTTCAGTTTTCCTTTCAATTTCTCAAAATAAGTAAAATAATAAGTTTTTAGAAAACATTCTTCAGAGGTGCATCATTTGTAATTATTTCTTGAATGCCACAAAACAAAGACACATTGTAGCTGGAAGTGACAGCATCAGTGAGCTTAACATATT